TGCACAGTACTCTCTTTTATTGATCGCTATAATATTGGTTTGGGGATGGTGAGTTGGTTGTTGATGGTTTGTATGTTAGGATGCTGTTAATTACGCTATGAATGGCCAGTTAAGATGCTGTTATGACGAATGGGCGTCCCTTTGCCTCCCCAGCCCCCTTTATATGAGCCCAGGCATAGGATGACAAAGGGAAGCCGATAAGTCACATGACAGGATGGACAAAGGCTGCAAGTCTCTACCTGCTTCCTGTTGACTTCACAGTTGCCATTGGTGGGTGTCATCTCAGCCTCTGGACTAGGGTTATAGCCTTTTCTGTTTGACAGGATAAAAACCAGAGCAGTGACTGCTATACACTGACGGTACAAAACATTAAGAACATTAATTGGTGTGGAAGAACTTGACTGGCCTGCACAGAGCCCTGACCTCAACCCCATCGAACACCTTTGGGATGAATTGGAACACCGACTGCGAGCCAGGCCTAATCGCCCCAACATCAGTGCCCTACCTCACTAATGCTCTTGTGGCTGAATGGAAGCAAGTCCCCGCAGCAATGTTCCAACATCTAGTGGAAAGCCTTCCCAGAAGTGTGGAGGCTGTTATAGCAGCAAAGGGGGGACCAACTCCATACTAATAACTATGATTTTGGAATGAGATGTTCGACGAGCAGATGTCCACATACTTTTGGTCATGTACTGTACTGTAGCAGTAAGGACAAAAATAATTGTTAATTAAATAATTTTTTATATTTTCTTTTGATACTTCAATGGGTCTTAAAACTCAAAATCAAATAGCTAAATAATCCTTGGTGTAACCTTCTTAATACAATTCCATATAACTTAGTAGAACCCCTCTCCCCCGGCTTAGACAGGGCTTAGACTCTTCTGGGTTAAAGTCATCATCTTTTCTCTGCTCAGGCAGTAGCAGCCAAACAGTCACACAACATTCTCTGTGCTCACCTACTGTACTGACTTTAGTCATCCTATTTAGTAAGGCTAGCTTGCCTAAGCATGCTGCAGAGCTGTCTGACGAAATCATTTGACTAGTTCTTCAAAGTAGATAAGGCATACTTTCACGAACTCTCTATCCCTCTCTATCATAGTTGTGTTGTGTACATTCCTCTCTCATGCTGTCTATGCGGTCTTTGTGTATATAGCCAAACATAGCAGGCGTAAAAGTGGCGTAAAGGTGGCGTAAAAGTGTATCCATCTTGGTGCTGAGCGATTAATGTCGGTTAATTGCTCAGCACTACACAAGAATGAAGCTATATACAGGGAGTACCAGTACCAGATCAATGTACAGGGGTACGAGGTATTTGAGGAAGATATGTACATAAAGGTAGGAGTAAAGGCTGGTTTACAGTCCGTCTAGCGCATGTCTGTAGACAATTGTTGCTGCGACATCATGAACATTCTATTGTCGTCCGACATCAAACTTGTTGTTGTTGTTATGAAAAATTATAAACACAAAATGACAGCCTGTGCATGACAGCAGCCCGGTGCTCCAAATAGCATACTTTCTCTATTTTAACACCAATAAACCCATCTGTTTAAAAATGAATTCAGTAAATGTCAACCTAGCAAGCCAGGCAACTAAAGGCAATTTTCTAAACAATATTTTGGTTTGTTGTTAGCTAGTTTACTAGCTAGCTAGCTGGCTAGCCAGTTCAAATAATAACCAGAGTATAGCTGACAACGTCTTAACTTTAGCTACTTTTAATTCATTATTACAGCAAAATAAACCCACAACAACATAATTATTTATAAGGTAATGGCGAGCTTACAGAAAATAACTTACTGCCACAGTGTGACGAAATAAAAGTTGGCAATTCTATCTGAGAATTTTAAAACTCCTGCATCATCTTGTCACAGGAGTATTTGAAGTGGTTGTTATGGCAGTCCGGTAACCACAACAACGGACGTCGCAGAGACTTGAACTTTTTTCATGTCTGTGCAACAAGGAAACTGACAGTCGCAGCGACGGTCTACAGACATTCAACCAGAGTATAAATTAAATGTCGTTTTGAGCAGCAAATCAAAATATATTTTATATTGGAGATTATTCAAATAGCCACCCTTTGCCTTGATGACAGTTTTGCACACTCATGGCATTCTCCCAACCAGCTTCACCTGTAATGCTTTTCCAACAGTCTTGAAGGAGTTCCCACATATGCTGAGCACTTGTTGGCTGCTTTTCCTTCACTCTGCGGTCCGACTCATCCCAAACCATCTCAATCAGGGGATTGTGGAGGCCAAGTCATCTGATGCAGCACTCTATCACTCTCCTTCTTGGTAAAATAGCCCTTACACAGCCTGGAGGTGTGTTGGGTCATTGTCCTTTTGAAAAACAAATGATAGTCCCTCTAAGCCCAAACCAGATGGGATGGCGTATCGCTGCAGAATGCTGTGGTAGTCATGCTGGTTAAGTGTGCCTTGAATTGTAAATAAATCACAGACAGTGTCACCAGCAAAGCACCCCCACACCATAACACCTCCTCCTCCATGCTTTACGGTGGGAAATACACATGCGGAGATCAACCGTTCACCCACGTCGCGTCTCACAAAGACACAGCGGTTGGAACCAAAAATCTCAAATTTGGACTCCAGACCAAAGGACAAATTTCCACCGGTTTAATGTCCATTGCTCGTGTTTCTTGACCCAAGCAAGACTCTTCTTCTTATTGGTATCCTTTAGTAGTGGTTTCTTTGCAGCAATTCGACCATGAAGGCCTGATTCACACAGTCTCCTCTGAACAGTTGATGTTGAGATATGTCTGTTACTTGAACTCTGTTTAGCATTTATTTAGGCTGCAATTTTTGAGGCTGGTAACTCTAATGAACTTATCCTCTGCAGCAGAGGTAACTCTGGGTCTTCCATTCCTGTGGCGGTCCTCATGAGAGCCAGTTTCATCATAGCACTTGATGGTTTTTGCGACTGCACTTGAAGAAACTTTCAAAGTTCTTGAAATGTTCCGTATTGACTGACCTTCATGTCTTAAATGAATGATGGACTGTCGTTTCTCTTTGCTTATTTGAGCTGTTCTTGCCATAATATGGACTTGGTCTTTTACCAAATAGGGCTATCTTCTGTATACCACCCCTACCTTGTCACAACACAATTGATTGGCTCAAACGCATTAAGAAGGAAAGACATTCAACTAATTAACTTTTAACAAGACACTCCTGTTAATTGAAATGCATTCCAGGTGACTACTGGTTGAGAGAATGCAAAGAATGTGCAAAGCTGTCATAAAGGCAAAGGGTGGCTACTTTGAAGAATCTCAAAATTAAAATATATTTTGATTTGTTTAACACTACATGATTCCATATGTGTTATTTCATAGTTTTGATGTCTTCACTATTATTCTACAATGTAGAAAATAGTAAAAATAAAGAAAAACCCTTGAATGAGTAGGTGTTCGAAAACTTTTGACCGGTAATGTATATACTGATAAAACAGTGTCACATCATATAAAGTGATTGTAATGTATGGTGCAGAACATGGTAGGTTATACAGGACATTGTATGGAGCCATTAGGTTCAAGGTGGAGACATAAAGGAGTTTGGATGACTGTGCTAAACAGCATTATTAGAAAAGACTGCAAATGTATCAGTTTAATAAAACAGGATAAGCCTACCGAGGAACCGATTCACTGTTATGGACATAAATTACAGGAAAATATGGGGGATAGCAGTCATATTATGTGATACAGCAGTATTTCCATAAGGTATACTGTGCAAAATGGGAAATATAAATTATTTATGAGCATAGAATACTTAAATAGTCATAAATGAATACAGGGATTTGTTGATAAAACCAGTTGACAGGTACAATCAATCATAGCCAGAATGTGGTTAAAAATAACTGCAGGTTCATTTCTGTCTTTGCTCCATTTCAAATGATTGTGAAGTCTATTTCAAGAGTGGAGGCAATGAGGTGTGTGCATAAAACATACTTTTTATATTTATGCAAATCAGTTTGGTTCTCAGGCTCCGTAATACAGTGGAAATTCAAGTAGGAGAATGTGATGTGACAAGGGCCTAACATAGACAAGCTCACAATCCTTCTTCAGAAATAATGCCGTTGTGGAGGATACACTAACAAACAGACATATATTACGGCTGGGAATTGCAAGGGATGTCACTATACGATATTATCACAATACTTAGGTGCCAATACGATATATATTGCAATTCTTTAAGTATAATGATTCTATATGAATTGCGATTCGATACTGCAATTTTATTGCGATGATGTTCTAAACATATTACTTACTATGTCTGCAGCAGAGGGACAAGAGAGAGCCATGAGAAAAGTGCTGAAAACATATTGGCTCACCATTTGAAAAGAAGATGGAGAACAAGAGAAGGAAAAATACTTGAGTTTTTGCGCAGGTAGAGCCGACTAGCGCAAAAATAATATTGAGAGATATTTCTAAAAATAATGTCCCGATATGTAACTGTATCCATCACTAACAGATCATTTGAAAAAGTTAATTGCGCTCTCATCACCAGCAGTGGCTGTGTTGTGTACCTGTACATACAAGCTCTGCATCAGTGAAACACATGGCAGAACTATTTTGACTGTTTGCTGAGGTTTTCTAGCTCTCTCAAACACACGCACACACACGCACACACACTAGAAGGAGTGGAAAGGGAGGATTACTGGCTTTAGTTGAGGCGATGATGACCTGTGTCAGGAGATTAAATACTTGGTTGAGGGTAAACATCTCCAAGATAGAGAGGGCCACTTTCAAAGCCTTTTGAGGAGAATTACCTCAGGCTTATTCTGACAGAATACCACCATGAATATGAATATGAAATGTTAACCAGGTTGTCTACATGAATGAGTCTGTCATTGGGTCGTAGTAGAATACCAACATCCAGCAAATTTAACAGATGCAGTGTAAATTACTTAGGGAATATGAAAAGAAGGGAAAATACCTGCACAATATTTAATTAACGCACTCTCCCAGAGGTGAATACAGCAACGTTGGGAGGTCATCATTTGAACAGTGTGCACTGTGCAGGTATTTTTCTTTTAAGCCTGTCATTGGCTCTTGCTGTGATTGACAGGGGCAGGCTCCACTCACGTGTGTTGATTTTCTGCAAGGAGATGTGTTTCTCTAGCTGTCTACGGAGTTTGACCTCAGCACCGTACTTCCCTGTGGTCCCATTATCGGCCAAGATGAAATGGGAGTGCAGGCTGTTGAGCACGGTCAGCTTGCTCAGCGGGTTGGACATGGTCTGGTACGGTCGGACCACCTGTTGGACCACGACAAAGTGTTCACCAACACGTTCCGCTTACTCAGAAGGTTAGATAATAAACTGTCGAAGACAATATATTCTCTGGTCAAGTGTATCCTGGGTGTAGTGCTTGAGATCGAAACACCCATACACACAGAAATACAGTAGCAGGCACAAACACACAAATACAGTATGGGGCACACGCATGAATGCACACACACTGTAACTTACGTCTTTTCCCACCAGGTCCTCCTGGTTCTCCACAATGCCCCAGGGGGCAATGCCGATAGTGCAGATCTTCCCCCGGGATTTAGAGGCATGGTCCTTCAGCGCATCACCCACATGCCGGATCACCCCTGAGTGTATGTTTGTGATATATAAGAGAGAGAGAGAGAGAGAGAGAGAGAGAGAGAGAGAGAGGAGAGAGAGAAGAGGGAGAGAGAGAGAGAGGAGAGAGAGAGAGAGAGAGAGAGGAGAGAGAGAGAGAGAGAGAGAGAGAGAGAGAAGAAGAAGAGGAGAGGAGAGAGAGAGACGAGAGAGAGAGAGAGAGAGAGAGAGAGAGAGAGAGAGAGAGAGAGAGAGAGAGAGAGAGGTGTGTGAGCAATAATAGATTGTACATGTGAGTGAGAGAGTTTTATGTGTTTTAGACAGAGAGATTAAGAAAGAGTGGCATTTTGTCATTATTGATACGTAATCTTAAATAAATGATTCACCCACTACTAAAAGATAAAGACAGTCAGACACTAACACAGCACCCAGACACAGGGAGACGGACAGGTACCGTATATATCGCTCCCCCCCTTCTCTCAATCTCTCTCCCCCTCTATCTCTCCCCAGTCATGCCTGGAGGGTCACCATGCATCACCCAGGTGGGTGCTATGCATTGGTGGTCGATGAGGTGAGTTTCCCCCTACTATGTAAAGTGCTTTGAGTACCTCAGTTGGTAGAAAAGCGCTATATAAATCCAATCAATTATTATTATCTCATAGTGCCTGACACTCACTATTCTCCTCTTTCCTTCCCTTTTTCTATTCTACTTCTGTTTCTCTCCATCCACTTTCCCCCATTATTTCTCTTCTATATCCAACCTCTGCCCCTCTATTCTCTCTACTTTCTGTCACACCTCTCTCTTCTCTTTCTGTTCATAACCTTTCCCATATATGCAGTAACCCTAACCCTTTTGATTATTCACACACAACACAACACAAAACAAGAGTAGCGACAACCAGAAGCATAGGGTTAATGGGTAACAACGACACAGCACGTGGTTGTTATCAGCCCGCTATGTGGGCCTGGTTTATTCCTCCACCCACCCAGCCCACCTGTGTTGACTCCGCCAGTGAAGATCCAGGCTCCCGTTGTCATGGCAGCCTTGATGAGGCCCTTGCCAAAGACCTGTTTGAGTTTGGGCTGCAGCTCAAAGTTTTGCAGGCCCCCATGCACTGAGATGAGCAGCTTGGGAAGGTCCAACTGCCACTCCTTGGTCATCAGGTGCAGCAGGAGTTCTGGTTTGGTGTCATAGGACACACGCACATACTGCAAATGAACACACAAACAAAACACATTTGTATGTTTGATGTCTTCTCACTTTTCCTATCACAATGCATTTTCTTGTACGTAAAGAAACAGACAAAGAAATGTCTGATATAATATAATCATACTACCAATAGCCGTAATTTTGTTGGTATTGAATCAATGTAAAATATAGATTAAAATGAGAGAGTACAATAAAGCTGTTCAAAACATTTGATTACATACATATAATAAGCTCATTGGAATCGGACTCGTTTTACTCGCATCAAGATATCTGTCTGCAGTCATGTGGATAGGTCCTATCTGTCTGTAGATAACGCTTATGTGACTATGCCCTTATTTATCTATCCATCCTATGTCTATGTAAAGCAATGTTATATCATTCAATCCCATGTATAAAGTGGTCACCATGGCTTTGTTGGAGTGGCCCCCTCCCTGGAACTCAATGGTTCCGAAGGCGTCGGTGGGGCTGAGCTGGGTGTGTTTGCTGACGGACCATTTCTCTGATAGGCTGTCATTCTTAGCCAGACGCTCCGCCTTATCATTCTGACTGGAGGAGATGCCGGGGGGCAGGCCAACGTGCTGACCAATCAGACGGCCGCAGCAGCATCTGGGGAGGGGTGAGAGAGGGAACAGGTGTACAGGTAGTCAGAGGAGGGGCTGGCTTCCTCTTCCTCACTCTCCTCCTCTTTATCTTCCTTCACAACCTCCTCGTCTTCCTCCTCACTCTCCTCGTCTAACTCAGAGGTGAGGTGAAACATTCTGAACATTGCCAATAGACATGTCATGAATAGAGCTGACATGATTCCCGTTTTCTACATATCGGACAATCCGGTTTGTTCTAAAGTTCCCTTTCATCTACTGTGAGAGAACAGATTTCAAAGGCTGTCCACACAAACCCCATGCAGCAGACTCTCTCGCCTTCCTACAAATCTGTTAAACATTTTAATATAGCCATTAGACATACAAATCAAATCAAATTGTATTTGTCACATACACGTGTTTAGCAGATGTTATAGCGGGTGTAGCGAAATGCTTGTGCTTCTAGCTCCGACAGTGCAATAATATCTAACAATTTCACAACATATACCCAATTCACACAAAAAAGTAAGGAATGTTATTTAAGAATATATACATATATGGACAAGCAATGACAGAGCGGCATGGACTAAGATAGAGTAGAATAGTATAGAATAGAATGCAGTATATACATATGAGATGAGTACTGCAAGACATGTAAACATTATTAAAGTGACTAGTGTTCCATTTCTTAAAGTGGCCAGTGATTTCAATAGGCAGCAGCAGCCTCTAATGTGTTAGTGATGGCTATTTAACAGTCTGATGGCCTTGAGATAGAAGCTGTTTTTCATTCTCTCTGTCCCAGCTTTGATGCACCTGTACTGACCTCGCCTTCTGGATGATAGCGGGGTGAACAGGCAGTGGCTCGGGTGGTTGATGTCCTTGATTATCTTTTTGGCCTTCCTGTGACATCGGGTGCTGTATGTGTCTTGGAGGGCGGGTAGTTTAACCCCGGTAATATGTTCTGCAGACCGCACCATCCTCTGGAGAGCCCTGCGGTTGTGGGCGGTGCAGTTGCAGTACCAGGCGGTGATACAGCCCGACAGGATGCTCTCAATTGTGCATCTGTAAAAGTTTGTGAGGGTTTTAGGTGATAAGCCAAATTTCTTCAGCCTCCTGAGGTTGAAGAGGCTGTGTTGCGCCTTCTTCACCACACTGTCTGCGTGGGTGGACCATTTCCGTTTGTTGGTGATGTGTACGCCAAGGAACTTGAAGCTTTCCACCTTCTCCACTGCGGTCCCGTCGATGTGGATAAGGGTCCACTGTTTCCTGAAGTCCACGATCATCTCCTTTGTTTTGTTGATGTTGAGTGAGAGGTTATTTTCCTGGCACCACACTCCCAGAGCCCTCACCTCCTCCCTGTAGGCGGTCTCGTTATTGTTGGTAATCAAACCTACTACTGTTGTGTCGTCTGCAAACTTGATGATTGAGTTGGAGGCGTGCTTGGCCACGCAGTCATGGGTGAACAGGGAGTACAGGAGGGGGCTGAGCACACACCCTTGTGGGGCCCCAGTGTTGAGGATCAGCGAAGTGGAGATGTTGTTTCCTACCTTCACCACCTGGGGGCGGCCCGTCAGGAAGTCCAGGACCCAGTTGCACAGGGCGAGGTTCAGATCCAGGACCTTGAGCTTAATGATGAGCTTGGAGAGAACTATGGTATTGAATGCTGAGCTATAGTCAACGAACAGCATTCTTACATAGGTATTCCTCTTGTCCAGATGGGATAGGGCAGTGTGCAGTGTGATGGCAATTGCATCGTATGTGGATCTATTGGGGCGGTAAGCAGATTGAAGTGTGTCTAGGGTGACAGGTAAGGTAGAGGTGATATGATCCTTGACTAGTCTCTCAAAGCACTTCATGATGACAGAGGTGAATGCTAAAGGGCGATAGTCATTTAGTTCAGTTACCTTTGTTTTCTTGGGTTCAGGAACAATGGTGGCCATCTTGAAACATGTGGGAACAGCAGACTGGGAAAGGGAGAGATTGAAAATGTCCATGAAGACACCAGCCAGCTGGTCTGCGCATGCTCTGAGGACGCAGCTAGGGATGCCGTCTGGGCCGGCAACCTTGCGGGGGTTAACATGCTTAAATGTCTTAATCACGTCGGCCATTGAGAAGGAGAGGCCACAGTCCTTGGTAGTGGGCCTCGTCAGTGGCACTGTGTTATCCTCAAAGCGGGCGAAGAAGGTGTTTAGCTTGTCTGGAAGCGAGACGTCGGTGTCGGCGACGTGGCTGGTTTTCTTTTTGTAGTCTGTGATTGTCTGTAGACCTTGCCACATACGTCTCGTGTCTGAGCCGTTGTATTGCGACTCCACTTTGTCTCTATACTGATGTTTTGCCAGTTTAATTACCTTGCGGAGTGAGTAGCTACACTGTTTGTATTCTGCCATATTCCCAGTCACCTTGCCATGGTTGAATGCGGTGGTTCGCGCTTTCAGATTTGTGCGAATGCTGCCGTCTATCCACGGTTTCTGGTGAGTGTAGGTTTTAATAGTCACAGTGGGCACAACATCACCTATACACTTCCTGATAAACTCAGTCACCGTTTCAGTGTATATGTCTAAATTGCTTTTCGTGGTCAGATTTACCGAAAGGAGGGCGGGGGAGGGCCTTATAACCATCCCGGAAGTTTGAATAGCAATGGTCGAGGATTTTAGCAGCGCGAGTACAACAGTCGATATGTTGATAGAACTTCAGCAGCCTAGTCCTCAAATTTGCTTTGTTAAAATCCCCGGCTACAATAAATGCAGCCTCAGGATATGTGGTTTCCAGTTTGCATAAGGTCCAGTGAAGTTCTTTGAGGGCCGTCGTGGTATCGGCTTGAGCGGGGATATACACGGCCGTGACTATAACTGAAGAAAATTCTCTTGGGAAATAATACGGTCGGCATTTGATTGTGAGATATTCTAGGTCGGGTGAACAGAAGCACTCGAGTTCCTGTATGTTACTACAATTACACCACAAGTCGTTAATCATGAAACACACACCTCCGCCCTTCTGCTTCCCGGAGAGATATTTATTCCTGTCTGCGCAATGAACTGAGAACCCATCTGGCTGGACCGATTTCAACAGAATATCCCAAGAGAGCCATGTTTCCGTGAAACAGAGTATGTTACATGCCTTGATGTCTCTCTGGAAATAAATCCTTCCCGGCTGTATGTAATGATGCAAAACACTTTCTGAGCTAATAATGTAAAAAATTATACATAAAAAAACAAAATACTGCAAAGTTTCCTAAGAGCTAGTCGCGAGGCCGCCATCTTCGTCGGCGCCAGGTTCTAGTGGTCAATAGTCATATGCATAGGACATAAATGGAGTTGAAATGTGACAGGTCCAGACAGGAGCCCCTGAAGGCAGACAACTGGAACCTTTATTCTGAGATGATGTAACCGCCCGCCTGAGATAAAAGACAAATATTTATCTCCACCTGCACGTCGTCGACCCAGGTTTTACAGATGTAAAAGTAACAATTTCATCCTGGAGCACCCTCATTTTTCCTCCACAGCTTACAAACAGTAGCTTCTAGTGCGATGTGTGGGTTGTGCTCGAGTCAGGCAGTTTTCTCTCCATCTGTCACCCGGAGTGATAGCAGTAGTCTACATTTCCATAATACCATTTTGAGAGTGATAGAGAGGGGAAGGGGGATGGGAAACGTCAGTTTTTCTAATTCTGTGCTACATTCTGACAATTGCATGCTTTATTTCAGTGTGATGTAACTCCCTAGAAATAGTGATTTTGGTGATTCACAACATTTTATTGTGTGTGTATTATGTTCGTTCTGAATGCCCACTTAGGCAGAACATATGGCAGATTCATAAAAACAAATATTTAATAACATCCTTTAGAGATACACCTCTCATTCATTAGAGTGACATATCACATACACTCTTACAAAAAAAGGTGCTATTTAGAACCTAAAAGGGTTCTTCAACTGCCCCCATAGTAGAACCTTTGAATAACCCTTTTTGGTTCCAGGTATAAACCTTTTGGTTCCAGGTAGATCCATTTCGGGTTCAATGTTGAACCCTTTCCACAAAAAAATTAAACTCAGTCTCATTCATAGATATTGCACATCTGGTGAACACTGAGTATACAAAACATGCTTTTTCCATGACATAAACTGACCAGGTGAATCCAGGTGAAAGCCATGATCCCTTATTGATGTCACTTGTTAAATCCACTTCAAATCAGCGTAAATAAAGGGGAGGAGACAGGTTAAAGAAGGATTTTTAAGCGTTGAGACAATTGAGACATGGATTGTGTATGTGTGCCATTCAGAGGATGAATGGGCAAGATAAAAGCTTTAAGTGCCTTTGAACGGGGTATGGTAGTAGGTGCCAGGCTCACCGGTGTGTGTCTGGAACTGAAACACTGCTGGGTTTTTCACGCTCAAAAGTTTCCAATGTGTATCAAGAATGGTCCACCACCCAAAGGACATGCAGCCAACTTGACACAACTGTAGGAAGCATTGAAGTCAACATGGCCAGTATCCCTGTGGAATGCTTCTGACACCGTGTAGAGTCCATGCCCCGACGAATTGAGGCTGTTCTGTGGTCAAAAGGGTGGGTGCAACTCAATATTAGGAAGGTGTTCCTAATGTTTGGTGTATTGTTCAGTGTATTTTAGCCATAACAGTTGTATTTTTACATTTTAGTCATTTAGCAGACGCTCTTATCCAGAGCGACTTACAGTTAGTGAGTGCATACATTTTCATACTGTATGCTTCCTTACCCTGATATTAGTCTATAGGTCAGGAGAGACTAATGCACGGCTCTGATTGATTTAAACAGCAACTTTAACTGCAGCTAATTGTAGCCACTGCTAACTACAAATCAATGGGAGAGCTGGGAGCAACCGTGTAATGTTCTAATTGTTTTGCCAAATCACCTTTAAGTAAAATCAAACCAAGTCTTTGAGTTGATTTGGACATGAACTGTTGAACATTGGTGCTCATTTTTAACACAGCTGCTTGGCTGCTCGGAAACCATGTATACTGGGTCAACTAAAGCAGCGGCTCGCCCATTAGAGCA